CACATCCCTCCATCCTCTGCCTTTGCCTTCCCACAACATCGTCCCCATCTGTCTCTGTGTCTCCTTTCCTCTCCTCATAAGGAGACCAGTCCTGTTGGGTGGGGGCCCCCACCCTGCTCCAGAATGACCTCACCTTAATTCCACCTGCAGTGACCTTGCTTCCAAATAAGGTCACACTCCTGGGCACCAGGGATTAGGACACAGCATATCACTTTGTATCATATGTGAGGGGGACACAAGTGAGCCCACCGGACACCTTTAAGAGGAACCTGTGATTCTTCTGTTCAGGAGGGTAACTCCCCATGAACAATTTGGAAACATACATCGCCTATACTGATAAAGTCGATGCCTACAGTTCCAAAATGCAATGCTTATTGGATCCAATATAGCATATTTCTCAAATTGGTCATCCTTTCTCTTTTTAATGTTTATTTTGAGAGAGAGAGAGCATGTGCACAGGGAAGGAGCAGAGAGAGAGGGAGAGAATCCCACGCAAGCTTCTTATCATCGGTGCAGAACCCGACACAGGGCTCGAAGTCACAAACCGTGAGAGACAAAACCTGAGCCAAAACCAAGAGTTGGACGCTTAACCAACTGAGCCACCCTGGCGCCCCTCACATTGGTCATTCTTAACCAGAGTAGACACCAAAGCCACCACTTGAGATTTGGGGGAGAAGATGCCTGTGCCCTGCAGATTGTCCTGCGTGGAGTACTGAAGGGCACACCCATTCCCACGTGCTCTCTGGGGAACCGCCCCCCCCCGTGACGCCAGTCTGCCACCACGGAGGGGTGTGGGCGTCCCTCCTCTTCTGCATCTGCCACACGCTCGGGGGCGCATGAGGATTCCTCCTCTTTGCTGGATCGGCCCTTATCACCTTGAGCCCAGAGAGAGTTTGCCCTCCAGATAAGCCCTCAACAGTGCTTGTCACGAGCAAATAACATTCAGATAGTCGAGTCGACTTTTTGAAGATATGGTGAGAAGAAATGAGGAGCATTGATTCAGATCCCACCATGAACTAAGCACATGGATGGAGCTTTCTGCCACTTATGACTAGTTGATGGCCCCCAATGTGTTCTTCTCGTATGACTCTGCAGTGGTCCCTGGGCAGGACGGGCAAGGTGAAGGCAAGCTAAGCATCCGGTTTCCCAAGTTACCTGTAGTTACTTGCTCAGAAAGGCAGGCTTCTTGTCTTGTTCCAAGGCGAGGGCTCATGCAGTTAATTTAGTTGACGAAATAGGGGTTTGTTTTTGTTTTTGTTTTTTTCCCTCTGCAGAACTCTGTTCCTAAGCTACATTGACTTCATGGCATTTAAGCCAACTGCCTCATTAAGCTGGAGATCCTGAAGAAAGCGTTTGCAGGATAAGGATGTTCATAATTAACACAAAAAATGCCACGGCTTTATCTGCCTGGTCCTTCTCCCCTTAGTTTCTTACACTTAATGATCTCTTTATTGAGCAACTAACACAGAGAGAAATAAAAGAGCGGAGGAGCCCTGTGTTAAAGGGCATCTGGAGAAAGTAAGCTACCGTTCCCCTGGTTTTGTATGCCTTCCCCCCACCCCCCAACCCCGCGCAGGGCAGGGTTCCTTCCCATTTGCCGTCATCTCGCCGTGGAAGAGAACTGAAGAGAATAACCATCGCCAGAATTTGTCATCCCGGAACTATATGGTCTCTGACTTCCCTTTCCACCCGGCACAAGCGAGAGTCTGAAGTGACCCTTTTTTTGCATCCCCGTTTCCCGGTGCTTTGAGCTTAGCAGAAACGCGCTGGCATTTGCCGACGGAATTGATGGAAACTGATTACTCTCTGCCCGAAGTCAGGCTCGGCCTTCAACCCCATTCATTCTCTCTCCTGAGGGCGAGTCTGGAAGCAGCTTGCACACAAAGACGGCTGGACGTGGGAAGCTAGTTGTCTCTCGCTCCCCCGGCCACCCCCCACCCACGCACGCAGGCCCACCGGACACATGGCGGGGCCACTTGGCACAAGGTCCTCCCTCTCGTTCTAGGGGATTGCTCTGGGTCCAAAGAGCAGAAGCAGATGATTCATCTTCACAGGGGTTGTGGTGGCTTGTTTCTGTCAGGCTTCTCCACTTATGAAGGCTTTGTCAGCCAGCCGTTTTCCCGTTGGGATTAGCCTGAGTTGGCCATGAATTCACATGCTGTGGAAACCGCTGCCAGGCCCGTCGCCACTGACTTTGGGGGCGGGAGGGGGAGGGGGAGGGTCTGCTTCCTTCCCCCTGCCCCTTGAATTCCGTTCACTGGCTGTGATTCCACTCGCCTTGATTGGCTCCCCCCGTCCCAGCCCTGCAGCACAGAAGCGATTGAGCAGAATCACCCACAAATTGCATTGCAAATGGTGCCTGTTTTTTTCCAGCAGGCCATCTGCTGGAGTCTATTACTCACCCTCCACAGAGCCAACCCGAGGAGTCAGGTGGTTCTGGGTACAGCCACTTCGGAATCACCTCGTTCCACACTCACCTGAAAGTCACTTTGCTGGCTGCTGAAGACGCTGGAAAATTCCAGGCTCTGGAGAGGCGGTCTTCTTCCTTTTTTTTTTTTTTTT